TCGATATTATGTGACCTTTATCGATGAATATACAAGACATTGTTGGCTGTTTCCATTGATCAACAAATCTGATGTCTTTGCTACTTTTGTTGCTTTCTATTCATTTGTTCTTACTCAGTTTGCAACTGCTATACAAACCTTACAGAGTGATGGAGGGGGTGAGTATGTCAGTAAGATTTTTCAGTCCTTTCTTCTTGAAAAGGGCATTGCTCATCATCTTTCTTGCCCACATACACCCGAGCAAAATGGTCTAGCCGAGCGAAAGCATAGGCATATTATTGAAACCACTGTGACTCTATTACAAACAGCTAGGTTACCTGCTTGTTTTTGGTCATATGCCTGTCAAACAGCTGTCTATCTTATTAATCGAATGCCTTCTTTTGTGCTAGGACTTAAATCTCCTTTTGAACTTTTGTTTGGTCATCTTCCTGTAATCTCTCATCTCCGGATATTCGGTTGTGCTTGCTATCCTTTGTTAAAGCCTTATAATGCTACTAAACTACAAGCCAAGACCACCAAGTGTATTTTTCTAGGGTATGCTACCAAATATAAAGGGTATATATGTTATGAGGTTTCCAAACAGCGAGTTTATATTTCAAGACATGTTGTGTTTGATGAGGATCAATTTCCTTACACATCTTTGTTGGTTCACTCTAAAGTCTCATATCAACCTTCTTCAGTTCCTCATTTCACACTTCCTGCACCTGTGATTTCTAATGACAATGTTGTGTTACCTATGTCTCTTCCTCCTACCACTCCTGCCTCTTCCTCATCACCTGCTCCTTCTCACATATCCATCTCTCCTATCCCTTCCTCACCCCTATCTTTTCCATCCATTACTGGTTCTTCCACTACTCATTCTCCAGTCCCTGTCCCTGTGGCTCTTGTCAATGGTTCCGATACTTCTCCAGCAGCATCGTTTGGTCCTGATACTTTGCAAGTGGTGTTGGAGGTTCCACCTCTCAATTTGCATCCTATGCAAACTAGGAGCAAAAATGGTATTATCAAGACCAAAGCCTTATTAGCTACTATTCAGGAGTCTGCATGCACTGATTTGTCTCTTATTGAACCGAATTCTTATAAAACTGCATTGAAGGATTCTACTTGGTTGCAAGCTATGCAAGAGGAGATCGATGCTTTACATAAACAAGGTACTTGGAGTTTGGTGACATTACCTTCTACAAAGAACTTGGTCGGGTGCAAATGGATATTCAAGATCAAGAAGCATTCTGATGGCACTATTGCTCGGCATAAAGCTAGGCTTGTTGCTAAAGGGTTCAGTCAAGAACCGGGTCTTGATTATGGGGAAACCTTCAGTCCTGTGGTTAAACCTACCACGGTTCGACTAGTATTGGCTTTGGCAGCTCAATTTAATTGGCCCCTTAGGCAACTCGATGTCAAGAATGCCTTTTTACATGGCATTTTGGATGAAGAGGTGTATATGACCCAACCTCCTGGTTTTGTTGATGGTGCTACTTCTCATCTTGTTTGCAAGTTGCACAAGTCCCTTTATGGACTTAAGCAAGCCCCTCGAGCTTGGAATGACATATTTACCAAGTTTTTGCCTCTTTTGGGTTTTAAACATACTTATTCTGACTCCTCCCTGTTTGTCAAGACAGTTGAATCTGGTATTGTCATTTTGCTGCTTTATGTGGACGATATCATTATCACAGGGAATGCAGCTGCAGCTATGCAACAGGTTATTAGTGCTTTAACCAAGGAATTTGATATCAAGGATCTGGGGGATCTGAATTTCTTTATGGGCATTCAAATCTCTCGCACTGCACATGGCTTATGTTTGTCTCAATCCAAATATATTTTGGATCTTCTTACTAAAACTGAGATGCTTGAGTCCAAGTCATGTGAAACTCCTTGTTTGCCCTATAATCGACTTCTCAAAGATGATGGTGCTCCTTATAACAATCCAACGTTGTACAGGAGTGTAGTAGGTGCACTGCAGTATCTTACATTTACAAGGCCGGATATAGCATTTTCTGTCCATCAAGTATGTCAATTCATGCAACAGCCTATGATTGCTCATTTCACTGCTGTCAAACGCATTTTTGCGGTATCTCAAGGGTACCATTCATCATGGTCTCTGTTATTCCCACGGCCCACTGCAATTGAAAGCATTCAGTGATGCTGATTGGGCAGGTGACCCGAATGACAGGCGTTCTACCACTGGCATGGCTGTGTTTTTTAGGCAACAATCCTATCTCTTGGTCCTCAAAGAAACAATTAACAGTTTCTCGCTCATCCACGGAGGCGGAATATCGAGCCTTGTCCTTTACTTCCGCTGAATTAGACTGGATTCAGCAACTGTTGGTCTTTCTGCAGGTTCCTCTGTCATCACCTCCGGTTTTTATTTTGTGATAATTTGTCCGCCATTGCTTTGGCTTTTAATCCGGTTCAACATCAACGCACTAAGCACATTGAGGTTGATGTTCATTTTGTGCGAGAACGTGTTGCCAAGAAACAACTTTCTGTTCAGTTTGTGTCGTCTAAAGAGCAGTTTGCTGATATTTTGACTAAAGGGTTGAGTTCTCCTCTGTTTCGTACTCATTGTACCAATCTCATGATTCGAGCATCGAATCATGTGTTTGCGGGGGGATGATAGGATAGAGATATTGGTGTTTAAGATGTTGACACTTGTAATTAGATTAGAGAAGAAGTTAGTTAAGGAAGTTAGCTGTGTAAGTGTAAAACTATAAATACCTCAACACTGTATTACTTGAAGGTTAAGAAAACAGTTCAGAAATATTCATCTTCTCTCTAACTTCTTCTTTCTCTTTCTCTCTCTCTCTCTCTCTAAGTCTGTTACATTCTTATTCTTCCTTATTGTGTGAGATTGATCATAGTTAACAGCTTTTCTGCACCATCACCAAGCTGCTTTACTTCTCCCACAACTTACTTCACCGTCCCTAGTTTACCCAAGCCACGCGAAGGGAGGTTCTTGTTTGGGAAGATTGTGGTTCGGTTTTGGAAGTGTTTTAAGCCTAGACTTTATTCGGGGACTGCGAAAAATGATTCCAACGGAATGAGGCCTTGTGGTGGTGATGATTCAGCCAAAACGAGAAGCGGAATGCAGTCACCCCTGCAGGGACAACATCATGCTGAGTATTATTCTGCAATGAGTGCTGATGAGCGTGACGAGAATCTGAAGGAGGTGATCTTCTACTGCAGGAAGTCTAGTTCTACAGAACCTACAGAAGTGGTAAGAAGATTTCTACTTCACTCACTTGACAGACAAGAACATGTAATGTATATATATAATATATATTACATTGACATATGATATGATTTGTGTTAATTGCAGATGGTAGAAAACTGATGTTATATAAGCAGAAGGTGGATAAGATTTTTTTTATGTCTGGAATCTGCATCATCTGATCAAGGGTTGCTTAGATCAAGCGAATATAATTTTATGAGTTTACGAGATATTTTCTTGTATATTTGTATTCTACTTTTGCCTGTAAAGAAGCTGTGCAAAGGAGATCTATTTTACTTCGTTGTTTTTTCAGTACAAAAGTTATCATTGGCAACTGTCATACTGATAAAGCATGTTTTAGTGCCCATATTTAATGGATGCTTTGCCATCAATTCCTTTGGAAATTACTCGGTTCTGCATACGTAAAAAGGTCATTTCATCTTAGAGGCGAAAGACGGTTTGACATTTGTAAACATAAACTTTATTTTTGTGTGATTTTATTTTTGCATACGTGTCAAACTGTGATTTGCGAGCAATGAGTTATGGCTCTAAGAATCATTCATTCGACAAGTGATAATCATTTAACTATGCCAATTGAAATGTAAAACCTGTTTCTGCAGACACAGCAAGTCTTTTCCTTTTCCCCTGAATTTAAGAGCTTCTGCTGATATTTTGGACCACTTCCCAGACTGGAAAAACATCTGCTTAATTTTTTAGTTGATTGTTCTTCATCCCCTTCCCCACACAACTTTTCTTTTCACTCTTCTGTGTTTCTGCAAAGGCTTTGTGGTCCATCGGAACGTCGTCGAATTACTAATGCAAGGCTTCCGTTACACTCGCCCTCCATGGTAGCTTGGACTCCAAGGTACATGAACTGCAAAATGACCACGTCGAAACGGTTAAACAGTAAGACTTATCAGAATTTCCCTCCTCATGAACTGCATTAATATTCATTTATTTTGTGTTCGTAAAGCACAATATTTTCAAAACTAAATTAGAGAACATACAGGTTTACTAGCACACTTGGAATAAAAATTAATAAATACTTTGAATTAACAAATAATTTAATTATGAACAAAATTTGCAGGAACGGAAGCTTAAACACATAGCAAATCCAAAGGCTTTTACTGACTAAAATGGATGAAAATAACATCGAGTTGGCAGAATAATTAAAATTAACGATAAATTTACATTACAATGAATTAGAAGTTTAAAAAAAAAAGTGAAACAAGACATATGATCAATAGAACGAATAACCAAAACATTTCATTTAAAATTCAAAAGTGAAAAATAGAAACAAACGTGTCATGTTAAAAAGAAGTGCGGCTTCTTTGACAAAAAAAAAAAGGTAAATTACATTTTATATCCTCAAGTACTGGTGTAATTGCAATTTCATACATCATCTTTAAAATATTTTAATCTCGTACGGTTACTATTATTTCATTTTAAATTTCATACAACCGTTAAAAAATTTGTTAAGTTAACTGTTAAATGATGACGTGACAAATATAAGATCTTCATTTGTGTTGATGTGATTACCAAACTTGTGCTAAGTGGCCAAATAGCTAATAAAATACTTGAAACCTTCACAAAAAATAAAGAATAGAATAAAACAATAAGGGAGAGACAGTTCCAAACGGTTATGCATTCAACAAAAAAAAACATGAGTACCGCCCGACTTTTGAATTCCGGTTTTACTCATCCTACGGTCAAAAATAAGAGGAGAAAAACAGACCCACATGATCCACCGTCAACGATAGGACTAACAATTTCGGCCGAGATAAATCCCCAAATTTTCCTTTCTTTTCCCTTCCACTTTCCCCAAAGCCAAACAGAAAATTAGAAACCTCAACTGCGAAAAGTGTGAGCGATGAGGAAGCTGAGGAGAAAATTGAGAAATTCACAGGACGACGACTTCTCTCTACCCACTTGGGACGATCCTTCCCTCAACGATTCTCGCCCCATGGATACTCAAGGTCCCTATCTCTCTCCCTCTCTCTCCAATTGGCTGCTGAAAAATGATAAATTGGCAAAATTTTGAACTTTCATTCCAATTTTAGTTACTGGGTTGTCGAATTTACAGAGCAAGAGGAGTTGGTTCGTGAAATGGAGAAGAGTCAAGCTCAACAGAGTCGGTTATGGAGGGTAAAAAGTTGTCTCCAACTAAACAATTTTACATCTTATTTTGCTTTTGGTTTTCTACAATGTGAAGTAACTTTGCTGATTTTTCTTTTGCTAGGTTTTGTTTGCATTGCTTCTCTTTTGTTTCGCGGTGTTTCTGTTGTACTCAATCTGTCAGCAGGTTCTGTCTCCTTGGGAATTGGTATGCGGATTCTCTTTCTCTTATTAAAAGCAAGTTCAAGCATCTTGCTTTCACTAAGTTCTCATTGAATTTACCATTTTTCTGGGTTATTAGGACTATATGTTTGACAGTGGGCATCTTCTTTCAATTGCATTTCAAATAATTCTTTGGGACTTGGGAGCCGTTGGGTCTCAATTGGGGTTTTATTTAATAATAAGTATTATGAGCAAGAGATCTTTACATGTTGTGAATATGTGGTATCTTCAGTTACTTACCATAAGGGTAGGGGTTCTAAGATCAAGTTGCAAAATTTCACTGGGTAGAGCTCGTTGTTGTTGAGAAGTTGAGAATTTGTGAGTTGAGTGCTTTTTTGTTGTTTATGGAACCTGTGACATTTGAATGATGTAGTAATTTATTGTCTTTTGTAGAGGATGAATCCTTTTTCGTCATTTGTTGTCGTTCTAATATCGATAATGACATTGTTTAGTGCCATGCAGTCAGATGGGCAACTACTGGTTATATGTGATTTTGCGGCTATGTTAATCTGGAAAATGTGTTTACTCATGATGAAATTGTCACATTTTGATCTTGATCAACAGCATTATCATGCTTATTTCATGGAAGAGATGCTCTCATGGATGATTATATCTGCAGGTGATGTTCCCCTACTTATCATTTAGTAGAGTTGCTTTTCAATGTGTCAACAGTCATGTGATGGTTGTAGCATTGTAGTTTAAGTGCTCAACCAATATTTCTTATAGTTGGGACTTTTGAAATTCTGCATTTAGAATATGTACTAATACTTAATGGGTATTCGTTGGGTTTTAAACCTAGTCCGTGATTTTTCACTGTTAGGGGAAGTATGCTTTGCATGGCATTTAGTATGCTTAGTTGGCTGTCTTTTACATTACTTTGAGATGAAATAATTAACTATTTAAAACTATAACAGATTGGCTAGCTGTTGTAGCATATTCATCAGCTATCATAGGATTGCTTCATGATTCAAAGCATCACCGCCAATGGATTTGGTACTCACTCTTTACTGGCATTGTACTTGCGGCTTTCTGGCTGTATTACATGTTGAGGTATGTTACTTCTCAAACTCACACATTCTACTCACATAACCAGTCTTATACAAGAATATTCACAACTTAGAAACATTGAGAATGAAATACGATGAAACTGTCACTCTGAGGTAGTTAAGTGGAACAATAAATTAAATACATTAAAATATCTCATTTCTCTATAAATATCCTTCATTCAGCCCCTGAGACAGTGGCCCTTCATTCAATTGACTTGTGCAAAAACAGAAAATAAATGTGCAATTCCACTTTTGTGTTGAGCATGGGTAGGGTGCACCACTGCATCCGCATTTTATTTTCTGATTTGTGGTCAGTATGTTATCATCTTGCCTTGCTCTTAAGTTTATTTCCCTTGTGAACTGTGCTGTAGTTTAAGGTACAAACAAACTAGTTTTGAACAAATATGATATTTGTGCAGATTGCCAAGGTTCCGCTGGGATGTAATCTGGCTTCCATTTGGACCTCTAAGGTATGTTAGAATGCGATTCATGTTCACAAGTTGCCCGTGCAACTTTTAAATTTATTCATGAACGCTTATCTGGTATGCAGCGGAGCAGCACTGGCTCTGTACGTTGATCATCTGCTAACTGAGTCATCAGAAGAGATAAGAAAGCTTCGAGGCTATATGTATGCTTACAAAGCTAGCTGAACCTTGTGTTTGTCCATCTTTGACATTGATCCGAGATAAATAGCACGGGCTGTAGACTAAAAGTTTGACTCTGGTATAAGGGAGAGGGAGAGGGAGAGGGAGCTCGTACAAGCTTGATTCTCGAACTGTGTTAATCACATGGAAATTCCTGGTTGAACTCGAAGGTAATTCTCTTTAATCACATTTTGTAATACTCATTTTGAATAGTGTCAGGTCTGAAATTTTGTGGTTTCCGATTGTGTAGTCACTGATAGGGTTTGGTTTAAACATCAATCCTGTTGTTAGATAATTTGAATAATTGAAGTCAATGAAGTTGAATATGAAAATTAAAGTCGAAGGTTCTGAAAATTATTCATATATCCCTGTGCTGCAACCTAAGAAAGCATAGTAATATTGCTCGGTGTCGGTTAATTTTATCTTCTTCGAATGGATAAAAAGGTCGTACCCAGTGCACAAGGCTCCCGCTTTACGCAGGGTCTGGGAGAGGTGAATGTCGGCTAGCCTTACCCCCATTTTCGAATGGATATAAGGGGAAAAAACGGAGAGAAGCACTCCAGTTTTAATTGCATGTTTTTCTTGGAAGTCACTTCTTGCTGAAATGGAGGGTACATAGATAGTACCAAATAAGTGGCTAATTACATGATAAGTAAATGGAATTTTATTTTGTTTTAATAGAAGCATGTAAGATGGCATGTAAAGGGTAAAAAATTAGAACTGAAATACAGGAAGTGGAATGTTGGTCGCTATGAAAACTAAAATGTTGCGATTGTATTGCTCGAAAAGAAGAGATTGAATTGGTCCTCGACTGCCTATGTTAGTAGGGGAAAGTGATTTTTTTGTTTGTTTTGTAATCGCGTGATTTCTGAGCTTTGGATGTGTGAATTTGCAGGCGTCAAACTTTTGGGACCTGCTGGCTTTTATGTCGCACGAACGATAATATCATAAAAGGTAATGCTAGGGAGATCAATTTTGTAAAAGACTACAAAAATTACTATTTGTAAAAGTACGTCTTATTAGTGTAAAAGCGTTATCTAAACCGTCAAGGGAGGGGTCATATTTTTTCTACGATTTTTTAACGGCGATTTTTGCAACCGCGTACTAAAATACCATGGCGATTTTTCCAACTGCTGCTTAAATACCTTAGCGATTCCTCAACCGCTGCCTAAAATAACTTTTTGTGGCGGTTAGCGATCAAATAGCTTATACGGCCGTCCAAATGCCCGCATTTGGACATGCGTCTGCTTGTGGCCTATGCCGCCTTTGGACGCTCGACACATGATCCGTTCGTCGCACAATAGAATTTTGCTCAGTTTCATTTCCTCTGAAAGCAAATTCGAGGAGAGAGAGACCAAGTGTTTAGTAACCAGAAAAGCACATCACTTAAAAACCAAAACGTACATTGACACATGATCCGTACATTGACACATGATCCGTTCGTCGCAGAATAGAATTTTTCTCAGTTTCATTTCCTCTGAAAGCAAATTCGAGGAGAGAGAGAGACCAAGAGATCCAAAGGTGTCTAGTAACCAGAAAAGCACATCACTTAAAAACCAAAACGTACATTACTGATGCTGAATATTTAACCAAACAAAAATACACCAAACTACTGAGGTAAGTCTTTAGTTTGGCAACAAACTCTGAAGGTCTTTCGAAAAATGCATATAAAATTCCCTTTTCTTCCTAATGAGAGTAGCTTACTCGAAACAGAAATGAATAGATCATTCATCCTCTTCAATGACCTTGGTGCCCAACCCACTCAGTCCTTCGGCTGGGATCTCAGCGACGGTAACAAGGGAGTAGAGCTCTTCCTTTGCATCTTCGTCGTCGTTCCTCTTGCGAGCAATGCGAACCCTGATCCTTCTTGGGACGCTCCTGATGCCTCTGCTCCAGATCTGCTTGTTCAGCTTCACATCCACCCTGACGTCATTTGTTCCCATGGCCTTCTTGGCAAACTTCCTGATCTCCTTTATGGCGTTAGGAGCCTTCTTCTTGAATGTGCTGTTATGGAACAACAATGCACAAGAGTTACTTTGATGGCTTTCTAATGATAGTACAAATTTCAATGGTTCAACAACAATGCACAAGCATATGAACAAAGAAACATTCGCAAACAAAAGGAAAAATTCTACAGATCCTACCATCTCCCGACACTTTCAATAGCATCGACTGCCCCCCACCTCACAAATTCCAAGCCCAACTCACTCCCTCACTTTGGACCAGAACCTCTGCAACAACCCCATGCCCACAGCCACGTAGTAGCTTACACCATTTCCCTACTAAAGTCCTACAAACGATTTCTTCTAGCAGTCTCGCTTCCACTCCCCCCCCCCTTTTAATCCATCACCAAGACACCACACAATAACCAATGCATCTCCATCTGGTAACTCTAATTTCAGCGACCTCAAACCAAATTTTGCTAAGAAAATCATCACTCCCTGCTCCTAAATGTAAAACTATAGTGGACATTGTCCACCTCAAACCCCATGCAAGATTTTACGAACTTGCTAGAAGACCCAGCCAGCCAGTTCTAATAAGTAAGATCTGCATCATATCTCTTTTCTGTCCCTACTCTTTTCACACCCGATACAAACATACATTTCATTCTAGTTAAATAACTAATCATGAAAATAGAACAGAAGTTCATAACAAGCACGTCGACGACAAGGTTACGCCACCACAACAGGGCTAGCAACAACTAAGAAATGCAAATTGATATCAAATATCCACAATCCGCAAATAAATCCCAATCCCACATAAAAATCAGAAAATAGACAAACACGAAGCTAGCCGGACAACACAATACGCAAAACAAGCATCCGTAATCAAGATCTACAACAACAAAAAAGCAACTATTTTATAAAAAGATTAACCAAAAGCAAGAACATAATGTAATAACAGATCACGAAAAGCGGGGGGGGCAAAATATAATACCAGCCATGGAGGCGCTTGTGGAGGTTGATGGTGTACTCTCTGGTAACCACCTCCTCCTTCCTTCCCTTCGTCTTCTCAACCATTTTCACACTCTCCTTCTAAGTACCTGCAAATGCAAATCCCTCACTTCAGAAAAAAAAACCCACAATTTCAAAATTCTAATCTTAAAACAAAAACCCTAGACTTGAACTACAGAAAACCAGAAAGTAAAAGCATAAATCCGATTGGAAAGATATAATTTTCTTCTGTTTTCCGTCGATTTCACGGCGGCCAAACAGGGATTGAAGGACTTGAGATTTAGAATTGCTATACATGCTAGGAAGAATGTGAGAGAGAGAGAGAGAGAGACGGACCTTTGGGAGCTTGGAAGTGGATGCAGAAAGAGGGGGGAAGAAGAGGCGCTGCAGGATCAACTAAAAGAAGCGTACAACCCTAGCTTCCACACCCTTATAAAGATCTATCAGACTCCCGTTCTTCTAGTTCTACGACGTGTCGCTTGTTGCCGATTAGAGATGGTAGTTTACTAATGATGTCGTTTTGTTTTATTTCTTAAAAAATAAAGGTTTTTTTAGAGATTTGCATAACACATCATTTTGGTTCCTGATATTGAAAATCAATAGAAATTGTCCCTGAGGTTATCCACTATCCATTATTTTGGTCATTTCGTTAAAAACTCCGTTAAATATCCCGGAGCTCTTGGGCGAAAGTGTGGGCAATTTTCAAAGCTTCGTAACTCAATCGTTTCTTAACCAAATTCGATCTATAATATAGCAAAATGAAGATAGGAAAGTGTAGAAAAAGTTTATACCTATTTGGAAGCCTAATGGTTGCCGAAGATGGCTGGAAAATAGCCTGAAAGGTGACTAGTCCGCGGGAAAACTGAAAAATTCGCCGGAAACTGGGTAAATTTTAAACGTTCATAACTTCTTTAATACTTAACGAAATCAAGTGATTCAAAAATTAAAATTATACTTCTCAACAAGATGAAGAGAATGGTACCTTTTTTGAAGACTAATTCGCTGTTGTTTGGTCGGAAAATGGCTTGAAAGTGGTTAACTAGAGACTAAAACAGCCATTTTCGAGCCATTTTCAAGCCAAACCACATCAAATTAGCCATGAATAAAGTACCATTCTCTTCATCTCGTCGAGAAGTATGATTTTCGTTTTTGAATCACTTGATTTCGTTGAGTATTGAAGAAGTTATGAACGTTTAAAGTTTACCCAGTTTTCGACAAGTTTTCCATTTTTCCTACAGACCAGTCACCTTTCAGGCTACTTACCGGCCATCTCTATCAACCATTGGGCTTCCAAGGTATAATCTTGTTCTACACTTTCCTATCTTCATTTTGATATATTATGGGTCGAATTTGATTAAGAAACGATTGAGTTACGAAGTTTTGAAAATTGCTCAAACTTTCGGCCAAGAGCTCCGGGACACTTAACGGAGTTTTTAACAGAATGACCAAAATAATGGATGGTGGACAATCTCAGGGACCATTTCTATTGATTTTCAATCTCGGGACCAAAGTGATATGTTATGCAAATCTCATAAATCATTTTGGCTAAAAAGCCTAAAATAAATTAGACAAATTATTATCTTGCTCGGGTCTCACACACCCTTTGTCATTTTTGTCATTTGATATTATTCAATTCATTCGATTTGATAGCAAAAAATTAAGAGGGTGTATGAGAAGTAAAAAGGAGTGTGTGCATAGCACATCCCTTTTGTTTTTTATTTCAAGTTGAAAAAAATGTGTTTAGGATAAGCCGTATTTTTTCTTTCGAAAATGTGTTAACAACTAATCAATTTTCGACTAACTTTTGGTAAAATGATGCTTGTCTTCACTTAAGCGGAGGAGATCTGAAATTCAACTCATATGAGTTATGAATACGATATATTTTACGTTTAATGCCTAATTGTTGCTAGCCACATTGCGGAGAAGTAACCTTGTTGTGCCCATATGACTACATTGCAAATTTGCAATAGTCTTTATACATATGGATTATCGGAGACAACGCATATTTACTCATTGTGCCTTATAATATACGTGCACGATAGTATTGATGTGTAGACTTTAGAGCATAGTGTAAATGAATAATTATGTGTTACTGGTAACATAACATGACATTATCACCAAAAAATTATGACTTCTGTATTATTTTTCTTTTGTAATGCATATAAATTTTGATTTCTTGTTACACCCCTAAACCCTATTACCTTTTTCGACCTTTTAGCTAGTGAAGCGACAAGAAACATGTCAAATTCACTCTTCTGGTACCGTTTGGTATGCAGATGGGAAGGAATGGGATGAGACGGAACAGTGGTTCCATGTTATGTTTGGTATGCGCAAGACAGAACGAGAGATTTGTTCCGTTTTGCGTTTGGTGCGCAGGACAAACGTAGAACGGAGAACAGAACCAAAAGACAAAGAAATCGAAACAAGCTCAATAGGGGGAGTGAAAGCAGATAAACAGAGGCGGATCTTTGGTTGCAAATGCAGTATTGGGCAGATCGAAGCACTACAAAATACAAAGAAATCAAAACAAGCAAATCATAAAAGAATACAAAGAAATCGAAGCACTACAAAATACAAAGAAATTCAGCAGAATTAGGAAATGAGTGTGGAGCCAAAAATATTCACAGGGCGACACGTGGATTTTTGGACAAAAATGACAAAAATACCCTTGCAGTACAACGAGGTTCCTACGCGCAAGCAGCGGGCAACCCTCTTTCAACCAAGACAGAAGTGCCCAAAATAGGTAACAATTCAAAGTCCATCTCATCAAATCCTTTCTACAAGGTAATTCCCAAACACATTCCTTTTAAATTATGTTAATTGGCTAATTAATGGGTTTATTGCCTAATTAACCCATTAATTGTCAATTAAACCATCCATTATATCCAAATAACTACAAAATACATCCAATTCAACCCTAAAACACCACATGGCCGGCTATCCCCATTTCAAAACCTAATCCATCACTTTTTTCTACCTTTTTCACCATTTCTTCCTTTTTATTACCCAATAAATTCAAAAACCACCAAAACATTAATCTTATGTTTAATAGCCAAATAAATTGGCTAATTAAACCTAAATTAAACCTAAAAACCCTAGCCACCTCCTATCCCTATAAATATACTACCATTCTCACTAAAAAGCTAATTCCAACACTTTGGCAAAAATCCCAAAATTCTCTAAACACTCTTTCTCTCTAAATTCTAACTTTGGCATCGGAGGTTCTTCGGCCAAAGCCCCCCCCCCCATTCATCGTGGGCGCGTGAGGCTCTTGGCCTTAACCTAAGGTGTTAATTGTTTTGTAGGTGCAAAATTGTCCAAGATCAAGGAGGAAGAAATTTGCATCCACAAATTGGTGCTTTCGTTGAGAGTTGAAATCCATACTCGTAGAAGACTCACGCACAAAAAGGTTTTTTCTTTATTTTCTAGTCCATTTGAATATTTTTCATACGTTCTTATTATTAGAATTTTTTACTTGCAAAGGTTCTTTGATAAAACGTATAAACAAAATATAATGGCTAGAAATTTAGAAAATTCCACAAGTGAAAATTCTAATGTTCAAGAAATGGGATTGCGGAGATCCGTGAGGCTAAATGCGACAATAAGGGGAGCGGCATCATCATCACGAGCTTCCACCATGGGAACCACCGTGGTGGCTACTTCGGTAGCCACTCATGGCGAGGTCCATGGAGCCTTCACCACGGCCCGGAGATCCGTGAGGCAAAATGCAACAATAAGGGGAGCGGCATCATCACCACAAGTTTCTACCATGGGAACCACCGTGGTGGCTACCTCGGTAGCTACCCGCGGCGAGGTCCATGGTGCCTTCACCACGGCCACCATGGGAACCACCGCAGTGGCTACTTCGGTAGCCACTCGTGGCGAGGTCCATGGAGCCTTCACCACGGCCCGAGCCGTGCCATCCAAGGCTCACGGTACCAAGACCACGATCCAAGCCGTGCCATCTAAGTTTACGTGGACCCAAGCCCAAGCCTCGCATTCACATGCACCGCGCATTGAGCAGCATGCTCCCGTGATCCAGCCTGCTCCCGTCAAGCAACCCACTCTCACGGCCCAACCTGCTCCTGCCGAGCAGCCTGCTCTCGTGACCCAGCCTGCTCCCGACGAGCAGCCCACTCCCGTGGCCCAGCCTGCTTTCGTCGAGCAGCCCACTCCGGTGGCCCAACCTGCTCCTGCCAAGCAGCCCACTCCCGTGGCCTAGCCTGCTTCTGCCAAGCAGCCTGCTCTCGTGACCCAGCCTGCTCCCGACGAGCAACCCACTCCCGTGGTCCAGCCTGCTTCCGTCAAGCAGCCCACTCCTGTGGCCCAGCCTACTCCTGCCAAGCAGCCTGCTCTCGTGACCCAGCCTGCTCCCGACGAGCAGCTCAGTCCCGTGGTTCAGCCTGCTTCCGTCGAGCAGCCCACTCTCACGGCCCAACCTGCTCCTGCCGAGCAGCCTGCTCTCGTGACCCAGCCTGCTCCCGACGAGCAGCCCACTCTCACGGCCCATCATGCTCCAGTGGCTTTCCAAGCAGCCCAAGTCGACCCAAGACTATCTCAACCATCCGGACCTACCATCGAGCCGGGGGCATTCTCACCATATTTTTTCGCGGATTTGACATTTCCCAATTCAAATCTCGCGCCCGGAGTCTACCACATTTCCACTGCCCAAGGAGGCGCATTCCTTCCAAGCTCTTCCAATCCAAATGGCGAACAACACTTGTCTCGACAAGTCATAGAGTTGACGAGCGCCCTTGCACAACAGACAACTTTGGTGAATCAACTTTTGCAACGCATCGGGATCCAACGTGCCCCGGACGAGGTATCCCGAAGTAGGACAAGGGCAGACGGACATTTCCAGCAGCGTCCCGGCAAGCAGCCACGAGCCGAACGTTTGGGCAGTGTACATTCCCGTCTTAGAGCGCGAATGAGCATGCACTCTCGACTAGGCCCACGGAGGAGCATACATTCACGGTTGGGGTTATACTCCGATAGTCAACATGAACAACCTTCCGGGCAAAGTGTCTATTCGCAGCTAAGCCCACAAGGAGCGTCTTCCACCTCACATCAGAGTAGGCAGCACGACGGACGGAGAGAGAGAAGCAGTCACTCAATCCAGCTCAAGTTCACCAACCAGCAGCATGCGAAGAACTCGCTCGCCTACTAGGAACGCATCACATGCACTGCATCCGCGGCATAGACGAGCCAAACACATGGAGAGAGCAGCCTAGACCAGCAAGTTATGACTGACTGGCAGGCAGCCGAGAGCTCCGCTAACCCAACAAAGGAAAATTCAGGAAGAAGTAGAGAGACTATTGACCAAGCGATTGCATGATTTCCAACGCAACGAGGTCACCGACGAGCCACTACGACGGAACATAACCAACATAAGCAGGTCACCCTTCACGGAGGAGATTGAGCAGGCAGAGCCTCCACGCGAGTTCAGTTCAGCATGCCAC